AAATCCCATCATTCATGGCCCATCCTCCTCCAAACTGCAGTAGGATGTAGAATGGGTCATGGGTGCTCTGTGTGCCAAGTTTGGTGTTTATTGGTCATTGTTGGGGGGCCACAGTGCTCCCTGGGAACGAAGCCGTTTGAAAGTACTACAAATCCCATAATCCGTGGTCCACCTCCCCCAAACAGCACCAGGACGTAAAGGGGTTCATGGGGGTTATATGTGCCAATTTTGGTCCAGGTCAGTTGCTCGTGCAAGTCTCTGTGGCCTGTGAAAGTGAGAGCCAATCAGAAAGCTGCCACATACACTTCCGCCCTTCCACCTTTCCTCCACATACATATAAACATTGACTTTTATTATATAGATATAGATAACCTGCACCTTGAATTGGGATCGGAAACTTATTGGCAGCCATTGGAGCTGTTTAAACAGGGGGGTTGACCGTTCCCTGTAACTTGCTCCAGTTCACAATCTTGCTGCCGACCTTTTCACTAACTGTAGTTTCCAAACCATCTTCAAGGGCAGCCCCATGTCGAGTGCATCACAGTAGTCCAATCTTGAGGTAACTAAGGCATGGACCACCATGGTCAAGTCAGACTTCTTGAGATATGGTCGCAGTTGGCGCACAAGCTTTAACAGAGTAAAATAATAAATAACCCTGACTCAAGTATAAGCCGATGGGGACTTTTTCAGCCTTAAAAAAGGGGCTGAAAAACTTGGCTTATACTTGAGTATATATGGTATGTTCGTTCTTGGCTCATTCTTCATTCCTCAGAGAGTTCTGGAATTTCTTAAGAGGATTCCAAAAGGAATCCCCACAAGTTCTGCAATTGCCCATTTTTCCTTCTGCAGAGAAGAAGAATGGCACAGGGCTGCCATATTCCAGACCAGGTCATTTGTACATCTTGTTTCAATTGGGGAGATGCTGGAACAACAAAGGAAGTTGTCCAAGCTCAGGCATTGCTCATTCAGATGTCCCTTTTGTTTCTAGGAATCCCATTGCTTACTTACTTAGGTGATCCCTCATTGTCCAAGTAGGATAATACTCCAGGGCGGGTCCGTAGGTGACTGTGGAGTCCTATTCTTGATCTGCATCTTCTCCCGCAGTGAGGGCATTGGATTCCAGGTGGAATGCGGTCCAGGTCGGGGTTGGCTTGATGTACCTTCCTCTTGGCACGTTTCTCTCTTTTGCCCTTCATTCGTGCCTCTTCAAATTCTACAGCACTGCTGATCACAGCTGACCTCCAGCTGGGGCACTCAAGGGCCAGGGCTCCCCAGTTCTCAGTGTCTATGCCAGAGTTTTTAAGGTTGGCTTTGAGCCCATCTTTCAATCTCTTTTCCTGCCCACCAACATTCTGTTTTCCATTCTTGAGTTCGGGGTAGAGCAACCACTTTGAGAGACGGTGGTCAGGCATCCAGACAACGTGGCCAGTCCAGTGGAGTTGATGGCGGAGGACCATCGCTTCAATGCTCATAGTCTTTGCTTCTTCCAGCACACTGACATTTGTCCGCTTGTTTTCTCAAAAAATTTGCAGGATTTTCCAAGGCAGCACTGATGGAATTGTTCTTGGAGTTGCATGTGACGTCTGTAGACAGTCCACATTTCGCAGATGTATAGCAGGGTTGGGAGGACAATAGCTTTATAAACAAGCACCTTGGTATCCTTACGGATGTCTCGGTCCTCAAAGACTCTCTGCTTCATTCAGAAAAATGCCACACTCGCAGAGCTCAGCTGGTGTTGTATTTCTGTAGACAGTCCACGTTTCGCAGATGTATAGCAGGATTGGGAGGACAATAGCTTTATAAACAAGCACCTTGGTATCCCTACGAATGTCCCGGTCCTCAAAGACTCTCTGCTTCATTCAGAAAAATGCCGCACTCGCAGAGCTCAGGCGGTGTTGTATTTCAGTAGACATTCCACGTTTCGCAGATGTATAGCAGGGTTGGGAGGACAATAACTTTATAAACAAGCACCTTGTTATCCCTACGGATGCCTCAAACACTCTGTTGAGATTAATTTCACAATTCAGCAGCAGATCAGTTGCACAAATTCAGCGCTTTCCAGTAGCTTCTTCCTGCATAGTATTTTCAGTCAACTGCTCCCACAGCCTGCAGTCACTCTGGAACTCTTTTCCAGACACTTGAGCACATGCCCGGCTATTGTCAGTTTTACCATTGTCTTTTCCCCAGTCTAGATGACACTACAAACTTACCAAAGCACACAGTTATATCTTGTCTTAGCAAACAGGTTCTTTTAATCAATTACATAAAGCCTTCGACGAACAGCATCACAGCACAAGGAGAGAGAATACACTCTACATGACTTCCTTATATACAATTCTATACAATTACACATAGCAATCTCTGATTGGTTCCCAACTCATTGACTTAACTCAGACCCAGAATTACATCATTCACAATCACCTGAACTAGGCCAGAACACATTCCCCAAATGAAGTTCTATATACAGTTAATGCATGACTCAGCATTTCCAATAGAAGCCTATTAGCAGTGCATGACTCAGCTATATTCATAGAATCATAGAATCATAGAATCAAAGAGTTGGAAGAGACCTCATGGGCCATCCAGTCCAACCCCATTCTGCCAAGAAGCAGGAATATTGCATTCAAATCACCCCTGACAGATGGCCATCTAGCCTCTGTTTAAAAGCTTCCAAAGAAGGAGCCTCCACCACACTCCGGGGCAGAGAGTTCCACTGCTGAACGGCTCTCAGTCAGGAAGTTCTTCCTCATGTTCAGATGGAATCTCCTCTTTTGTAGTTTGAAGCCATTGCTCCCTCCTCCCTCTGGCTTCCTCTCACATATTTATACATAGCTATCATATCCCCTCTCAGCCTTCTCTTCTTCAGGCTAAACATGCCCAGCTCCTTAAGCCATTCCTCATAGGGCTTGTTCTCCAGACTTTTTATCATTTTAGTCGCTCTCCTCTGGACACATTCCAGCTTGTCAATATCTCTCTTGAATTGTGGTGCCCAGAATTGGACACAATATTCCAGGTGTGGTCTAACCAAAACAGAATAGAGGGGTAGCTTTACTTCCCTAGATTTAGACACTATGCTCCTATTGATTTAGGTCAAAATCCCATTGGCTTTTTTTGCCGCCACATCACATTGTTGGCTCATTTTTAACTTGTTGTCCACGAGGACTCCAAGATCTTTTTCACCCGTACTGCTCTTGAGCCAGGCATTGTCCCCCATTCTGCATCTTTGCATTTCATTTTTCCTGCCTAAGTGGAGTATCTTGCATTTGTCACTGTTGAACTTCATTTTGTTAGTTTTGGCCAATCATCTCTCTAATCCAGGGGTAGGGAACCTTTGGCCCTCCAGCTGTGGTGGACTTCAACTCCCACAATTCCTTGAGGCTCGACATTCGCCCCAAAGGCTTACCTTGGCCCAATGCCGAGCCTCAAGGAATTGTGGGAGTTGAAGTCCACCACAGCTGGAGGGCCAAAGTTTCCCTACCCCTGCTCTAATCTGTCAAGATCATTTTGAATCCTGCTCCTGTCCTCTGGAGTATTGGCTATCCCTCCCAATTTGGTGTTGTCTGCAAACTTTACAATACATTGTAAAACCTGACACACTCTCTGCTTCATTCAGAAAAATGCTGCACTCGCAGAGCTCAGGCGGTGTTGTATTTCGGTGTCGATGTTGACTTTGGTGGAGAGGTGGCTGCCAAGGGAGTGGAAATGGTCAACATTTTCTAATGTTACACCATTAACTCCCAAATTTAAGGTCAATGCCTACCAAACCCTTCTAGTGTTCCTGTTGGTCATGGGAGTCCTGTGTGCTACGTTTGGTTCAATTCCATTATTGGTGGAGTACACAATGCTCTTTGATTGTAGGTGAACTATAAATCCCAGCAACTACTACTCCCAAATGTCAAGGTCTATTTTCCCCAAACTCCACCTATGTTCATATTTGGGCATATGGAATATTCATGCCAAGTTTGGTCCAAATCCATCATTTGGTTCAATTCCATCATTGGTGGAGTTCACAATGCTCTTTGATTATAGGCGAACTATAAATCCCAGCAAGTACTACTCCCAAATGTCAAGGTCTATTTCCCCCAAACTCCACCTATGTTCATATTTGGGCATATGGAATATTCATGCCAAGTTTGGTCCAAATCCATCATTGGTTGAGTCCACAGTGCTCTCTGGATGGAGGTGAACTACAACTCCCAAACTCCAGGTCAATGAAGAAAAGGTCTTCCTTTTCTACCTCAAGGTCAACGCCTACCAAACCCTTCTAGTGTTTTCTGTTGGTCATGGGAGTTCTGTGTACTAAATTTGTTTCAATTCCATTGTTGGTGGAGTTCAGAATGCTCTTTGATTGTAGTTGAACTATAAATACCAGCAACTACAACTCCCAAATGACAAAATCAATTTTCTTTGGTCACTCCTTGGGTTAGTAGGTGTCTTGTGTCCAAATTTGGTGTCAATTCGTCCAGTGGTTTTTGAGTTATGTTAATCCCACAAATGAACATTACATTATTATTTATGTAGATAACTAGCCATCCCCTGCCATGTGTTGCTGTGGCACAGTCTGTGTAGATGTGGTTTTTTTGTGTGTGTAATGTTACACCATTAAGCTGTATCTCTGGCATTGGAGAGGGATTGGCTGGTGGAATGGACAAAGGAAGTTGTCAAAGCTCAGACATTCCTCATTCAGATGTCCTCTTTGTTTCTAGGAATCCCATTGACCCATTGAAGTGGCCCTCAGCTGTGGTCACCTCCGAGACTTTCCAATGGAAATACATAGAGGGAAAAATTGTGCTCTCTCGGTGGAATGCCTCCCTGTTTTGGTAAAGCCTTCAGCCAGACAGCTGCCCGGCAGGAGACAGTTTGCCTCAATCAGTGCCAAATATAAAGGTGAGATAGACACTGCTGGGGGGAACCAAAGAAGACTCGGAGCAAAGGAGAACCCCAATGTCTCTCCAATTGTTTCTTAGAGTTGGTCCTTTCAATAGTGTTTGCTATAACCCATGACTTTCTCCTCTCAAGGTAAGTTAAGGAATGTGATAAGCCCAGGAATGTATCCTATCCACCACAGTTATTGGTGTTTGTGTGTAAATATAATCCTAATTGGGTGAAACTTGTAGACTATTGCCATCTCTGTCTTCTCTACTCCATCATATCTTTGATTCATTCTCTCTTTGTGATTCCAATGTTCTTCCAGGGCCAGGACCTGGGAAATATGGAAGACAACCTTGCACTGGGATTAAGGACCATGACTTTACCAAGTACACGGAACCGGCTTACACTATGCGTGTGAAATCCAGTGAAAAAAGTAAGGAAAGAAAATGTCCTGAGGAAAATGGTTCCGGGGTCCTGGAGACACTCAAAGGGTTTCTGTGGGTGCACTTTAAGAGCCATGGCTAAAATGCTATGTTTTTTGCTAAGAGGCCAGCATTACAACTCCCAAATGTCAAGGTCTATTTTCCCCAAACTCCATCTGTGTTCATACTTGGGCATATGGAATATTCGTGCCAAATTTGGTCCAAATCCATCATTGGTTGAGTCCACAGTGCTCTCTGGATGGAGGTGAACTACAACTCCCAAATTCCATGTCAATGAAGAAAAGGTCTTCCTTTTCTACCTCAAGGTCAACGCCTACCAAACCCTTCTAGTGTTTTCTGTTGGTCATGGGAGTTCTGTGTACTACCTTTGTTTCAATTCCATTGTTGGTGGAGTTCAGAATGCTCTTTGATTGTAGTTGAACTATAAATACCAGCAACTACAACTCCCAAATGACAAAATCAATGGATTTGGTCCAAATCCATTATTGTCTGAGTCCACAGTGCTCTCTGCATGTAGGTGAACTACAACTCCCAAACACAAGGTCGATGCCTACCAAACCCTTCTAGGGTTCCTGTTGGTCATGGGAGTCCTGTGTGCTATGTTTGGTTCAATTCCATCATTGGTGGAGTTCATAATACTCTTTGATTGTAGGTGAACTATAAATCCCAGCAACTACAACTCTCAAATGACAAATCAATTGTGTTTGAGTGAAGGACATACATTGGGTTGTTAGATGTATTGTGTCCAAATTTGGTGTCAATTCGTTCAGTGGTTTTTGAGTTCTGTGAATACCACAAACGAACATTACATTTTTATTTATATAGAAAATTGCAGCTCCCATGATTCCATATCACTGAGAGATCCTTGCTTAGTTGTGGGTTCTTACATAGCAGTGGGTTGTTATGTTCCCTCACGTTCCGTTCCAGCTCAATAATTTGACGACTTCTCCTTTCCTTTTTGAAGTGATTGCATTTGTGGAGAGTCCTGGGCCTTGTTATTTTGTGGATCCCAGCCTTTCGCACCTAGGAATATGGAGGCCAGCGTCATTCCGCATGCAGCAGGAGAGAAGGACCACAAGTAAGTTGAAGGCTGGTTGTGTTATTGCTGTTGATTAGGCCTGGGTAACAACGGAAAAATTTGTTTCTAAACTCGTTTCGTTTTTAGGGGTCCATCACGTTTTGTTTTTTTAAAGAATTCCGAAATTTTCCTTTTAAAAATTTCAAAATTTACGAAATTTCGTATAATTACGAATCGATTCGTTAATGGCGGACGCGATTGCGCAATATGCTAAAAAAACCTCCAAATGGGACAGGGGGAACTTCTGAAGCTTCCCTCTCCCTCTGTGGTTGACTGTTGGTGTGATAAAACACACAACAACTATAAAACTTGCACCAGACATGCGAAAATAATTAAGAAATAATTACGAAATAATTACGAAATAATTACGAAATAAATTGAAAAAATTGTTTCGAATCTAATTTACTCCTCACACTATTCCTGCATGGCTCAATATTGGATTTTAAGCTAATTTAAATACGAATTAATAACGAATTACGAAATTAACGAACGAAACCGCCCAAGCCTACTGTCGATCAATGGCATTGGTCCTGAGCAAAGGAGAACAAAGTCCACACAACTTTGGGATGCAATGTCGGCCTTTCTCAATTCAGTCCTAGAAAGAACAGAATTTTTGGTTACACCTGCAATTGTTTCTCCTTGAGAAGGTAACACTGTTCAACGGAGAAAAAGTTGCGGGCCTGAAAATAGTTGTTCTTTTATGATTTTGGGGTGCTGAAAACGAAAATGACATTTAAAAATGTATATTGGCTCTAGTTTTTATGATATAAGCAATCATGTGATCACGTATGGTTGAAAAAATGCATGTTGCGACTTACACTATGGAAGATTCTAGAAAGTTGCGGGCCTGAAAATAGCTGGAAGATTCTAGAATATTCTAGAAAGTTTGATGACGCAGTATTAGTGCCGTGTGCAAAAGCCCGAAAGCCCTATATAAGGCCAGACTTTTGAACGGTGAGGGTCAGTCAGTTGAAGACTGAGACTCCGTCAATGCTGTCAGACTACTGCTGGAGCATTGTAAGAGACAATCCTTTCCTTGAATACAAAAGAAAAGTCAAGAGAAGCAAACAGGATAAAAACTAAAGTCACGATTAAAGCGACATTTAAACTTTCAGACTTTTCAACTGCATTCGGCCTACTAATATAGTTTCTTGCTGCACAAACATAAACAATAGACTAATTAAATAAATATTTCTCATGTATAAACTATTGGCAATATAATTTGACTAAAATTTAGTAAATATTCACGGTTTATATACATGCAGTAAGGTTAGGCGCATTATCATAATATTAACGAATTACCTATTGTGGAGAAAATTGAAATAGCTGTTGCATAAAAACCAGAGCCAATTAACACATTTAATTATTATATTTGAATTCAGCATGTTAAATTTATTAAGAAACGGCACATTTCGTTTCCGCAACTGAGAAAAACTGAAAATTTGTAGAACAGTGTAACCAACTAAACTTCAGGTTTTGAAGGTGTCTTGTGGATAATTTCATTAAATTCATTAAATTCGTACATACGAATCGATATTAGAAACATGCAGGAAAAGTGGGGGGGGGGATTTAGAAATTGAAACACTCACACATCATTTTAGTTTTTTTTAGTTTTCCTTAAATTAAGAGGAACGTGGAGAAACCCAAAGCCTCCTCTGTGTTTGGTCCAACTCCTCCCCTCTGGCCCACATCTGGCCGACCTGTTTGTCTTGCTTCTCACAACCTGCACAGGCAGAAGAAGGCTACTAAGATGGGGAACATCAGGCTGCTGTTGGTTCAATTCATTCCTCCGAAATCGGAGTCAGTGCGTGGAATATATGGACCAAGTCTCCGAAAGTTCCCCCCTCCTATGCGGGGTACCCCAAGGTGCAATTCTCTCCCCTCTTCTTTTCAACATCTACATTAGACCCCTTGCCAGTTTGGCTCAGAGATTCGGCTTGGACTATGTATTGTCGAAGGCTTTCATGGCCGGAATCACTCAGTTCTTGTGGGTTTTTTTGGGCTATATGGCCATGTTCTAGAGGCATTTCTCCGGACGTTTCGCCTGCATCTATGGCAAGCATCCTCAGAGGTGAGATCTGCTGGAGCTGGGGAAAAAGGGGTTTATATATCTGTGGAATGACCAGGGTGAGACAAAGGGGCTTTTGCAAGTTGAACATTGAACATCTCTACGGGGAGAAACTGTTCCAAGACACACGGAAATTGGAGAAACTAAGGACCAGGAAAGCACATCTACTGTGCTCCCTGACTTTCCTTCTACGCTGCAGAGACACAGATACCATCCCACAATTTCTCGCAACCAAAAGGACTTTCAAAACACCACAGGCTCACCGGATCTATGACCGCCTGGAACGCAACCTCTTACAAGAGAGAATTCACACTATCCGCAAAGAACTCGCAAACACAGGCAAGGAACTGCTGCATCTCCATATCAACATCAGCCAGAAGATGAATTCCCAGGACTGGGACAAAATAGACCAGTACTAAAAAATTCTAAAATTGCAACAGCAAAAACAGCAGAGAGAAAAACAGGCAGGGACATCTAATCACCTTTCAAGAAGAGTTTGCTCCAGGCACAGTCAGCCCATTGTATGCTAATCAAGGTGGTCAGTTGAAAGATTCACACCTAGTCCAACTTACAAAAGCCCCTTTGTCTCACCCTGGTCATTCCACAGATATATAAACCCCTTTTTCCCCAGCTCCAGCAGACCTCACCTCTGAGGATGCTTGCCATAGATGCAGGCGAAACGTCAGGAGAAATGACTCTAGAACATGGCCATATAGCCCGAAAAACCCCACAAGAACTGATCGGCTTGGACTGCTATCAATATGCGGACGACACCCAACTCCTGTTGCGCTTGGAGCCTGGAGTAACGTCAATACCTGACAATTTCACCTTATGCCTGGAGGCTCTGTCGAACTGGCTACGTCCTAGCAGACTGAAGGTGAACCCGGCGAAGACTGAGATCCCGTGGCATGGCTGCCCGATAGGTCCGACCTATCCGTTACCTACCTTTGATGGCGCTGCTCTATCTCCATCGCCTACCGTTAAGAGCCTTGGTGTCATTTTGGATTCGCAGCTGACGATGGAGGCTCAGGTCGCTGCTGCCAGCAAACAGGCCTTTTTCCATCTACGTCAAGCGAGGCAACTGGCACCTTACCTGTCGGATGAGGCTCTGGCAACAGTCATCCATGCCACGGTCACATCTAGGCTAAACTATTGTAACACCCTGTATGTTGGCCTTTCGATGTCTACGACCCAAAAGCTCCGTATTGTCCAGAATTCTGCAGCCAGGTTACTCACAAGAACGCCCATGAAATGCCATATAACACTAGTGCTCGGCATCTACACTGGCTCCCAATTGAGTATTGTGATTTGTATAAGATGCTGGTCCTGACCTTTAAAACTTTATATGGCCAGGGTCCATTGTATCTTAGAGACCATCTCTCCTTCTCCCATCATCGGAGGTCACCATGACCACCCCAACGCAATTTGCTCTATATGCCGGGTGCGCTTGGAAAGCACCAGACGCAGGGCCTTCTCTGTTTCTGCCCCTGCTTTATGGAATTCCTTGCCTCCTTATTTGAGAGCCATGCGTGACTTAGGGCATTTTATCCTAGCACTTAAGACCTGGCTTTTTACTAGAGCATTTGACCCATGTTAATTTTAGCTGATGGGAGCCCCCGGTGGCGCAGTGTGCTAAAGCACTGAGCTGCTGAGCTTGTTGATCGAAAGGTCGCAGGTTCGATTCCGGGGAGCAGCGTGAGCTTCCGCTGTCAGCCCTAGCTTCTGCCAACCTAGCAGTTCGAAACCATGCAAATGGGAGTAGATCAATAGGTACCGTTCCGGCGGGAAGGTAACTTTGCTCCATGCAGTCATGCCGGCCACATGACCTTGGAGGTGTCTACGGACAACGCTGGCTCTTCGGCTTAGAAATGGAGATGAGCACCACACCCCAGAGTCAGACATGACTGGACTTAATGTCAGGGGACTACCTTTACCTTTTTTAATTTTAGCTGAAGATCAATCCCGACAAGACAGAGGTCCTCCTGGTCGATCGCAAACCGGATTGGGGTATAGGGTGGCAACCTGTGCTGGACGGGGTTACACTCCCCCTGAAGTCACAGGTCCGCAGTCTGGGAGTCCTCTTGGATTCATCGCTTACGCTTGAAGCTCAGGCGTCGGCGGTGTCCGGGAGGGCTTTCGCACAACTAAGACTCGTGCGCCAACTTCGACCGTACCTCGCGAAGGCTGATATGGCCGGAGTGGTCCATGCCTTGGTCACCTCTAGGTTGGATTACTGTAATGCGCTCTACGTGGGGCTGCCCTTGAAAACGGCTCGGAAATTCCAACTTGTCCAACGAGCAGCGGCCAGGATGTTAACCCTCCTGTTCAAGGAGCTCCACTGGCTGCCGTTTATCTTCCGAGCCCAATTTAAGGTGCAGGTGCTTACCTACAAAGCCCTGAACGGTTTGGGACCAGCCTACCTGTGTGACCACATCTCCGTATACGAACCCACGCATTCACTACGCTCATCTGGAGAGGCCCTGCTCATGATCCCGCCGGCGTCGCAAGCACGTTTGGTGGGGACATGGGACAGGGCCTTTTCCGTGGTGGCCCCCCCGTCTCTGGAACACTCTCCCCAAGGATCTTAGACAGGCCCCTACATTGGCAGTCTTCAGAAAGAACTTGAAGACCTGGCTGTTCCGGTGTGCCTTTCCCGATTAGGAAATCTTCAATACCAAGTCCCAGACGCACTTTATTAGAATTAAGACTGCCGCACACTGCACATTGCACTGCCCTATAATCCTTACATATCACCTGTCACATCAGCACTTTTAATCCTGTATCCTTTAATCTGGCCCGGCCCAGTTTTTATCTTGTTTGATGTATTGTTTATTGCTTGTGGTTCTTTGTTGTTTAATACTGCTTTAATTGTTTAATTGTTTTTATTTGCTTTAAGTGTATTGTTATGTTGTGTATTGAGGCCTTGGCCTTT